GGAAATGGTCCATTCTGAGGTGTGCTTGTTTCTATGTTTGCTCAGATAACGGAACATGGACCCAGCTGTGGCTGGTCTCAGACTACCATGAACACGGCTCCCTGTTTGACTACCTGAACCGCTACACCGTCACCGTGGAGGGTATGATCAAGCTGTCGCTGTCCACTGCCAGCGGCCTGGCCCACCTCCATATGGAGATCGTAGGAACACAGGGTGAGCACGACGGTTCCAGCTTCAGCTGGCCCTCCTTTCAGAACAGTTTATTAATCAGGGAGATTCATTTCTGGGATGACTTCTAGCTGTTTGTCCAGTTTTATCATGTATGCATATAATCCCTATTCACAGGAAAGCCAGCTATTGCACACAGAGACCTAAAGTCCAAGAACATTCTGGTAAAGAAGAACGGGACCTGCTGCATCGCTGACTTGGGTCTGGCTGTTAGACACGACTCTGCCACTGATACCATCGACATTGCTCCGAACCACAGAGTCGGGACCAAAAGGTAAGGGTTACTCCGTCTCCTGGCAGTGCGATGCTCAGACTTCCTGCTCTGCTGGTTTCTCATATTCAGTTCTTCCGTTTCTGGAACAAAATGCAATTTTTCCCAGGTTTTAACCTCAGCTGTGGGATGCTGTGCAGCTGAAAGGATATTTGCTGATGTCTTTACATTTTTGGACACTTGTGTTATGATGCAGAAACGAAGCAAACAAGAGAAGTAGTTTTTTTCACATCTCAGAGCAGCTCATTACCAAGTGGTGTGCATGAGAGCGTTCAATGAATGCAGTTCACTGAATTCATCATAGTTTTAGTGAACGGTGAACTGAACGGATCAGTTTTGAAGTGATGAACGTGAACAAGAGTGACGTTCACTCTGAGAAGAATGAGCGACACACCGCTCACGTTCTCGTTCCATTGATAAGAAGACTTTTTCTTGAATAACATCAGGTTTTATGGCTCTTATTACGGCAAACATCCTGACAGACCTGCATGTCTACTGCTAGAACTAGTCTGCTCCATTCAGACTCATCTGCTGGGATTCCTGATGCCAGTTTAGCAGAGCGCTGGCAGAGTTTGATCAACAAAGAAAGACTGGGACAGAAAAAACTCATGTTTTTGTGCAAACTGTTTCCACGGGGACTTAACCCTTTATAGGGCAAGTTAGTGTTTTTGATGACTTGCATACCCCATCTTATTTTGGCATTTGATTGATTATAAATTACCTACTGAAAATTAAGTTAAAAAAAGTTTTAAAAAGTCTAGGAAAAAAAGCTAATTAAAAAGTTAAAAAGTAAAGTTAATAAGCCTAGTTTTATAAAGAAAAAAATGTAAGTGCCACTATCAGCCCTAATGCCTCTAAGGTTATGTTGTACCAAAAAATCTGTTTCTTTCACTCTGTGTTTTTCATGAATTTATTATAGAAGCACTTTTATTTTTCTTAATGTATTCGGGCAAGTTGGAGTTTGTTTTTACTTTGACATTCATTTTTTTCCCATCAGAATATCCATTTTTTTTTTATGTTACAAAGGTAATAAAGTCTTGTCCAAAGTTTCAAAGTATTTAATTGAGTGTGCTATAAAGGGTTAACAAAAAAGTTTGTGCGTCAGCCACGTTCACTTCACATTTAAAGCGACACATCGAGTTAAAGGATCGGAGCTATCTTGGGAAAAATCTGCTACTGAATGAGGAACGGAAGGAATGATTTTAGATCCAGAGGTTTTAGGCGGAACCTGAATGTTCCTGAAGTTACTGTGGCTAAATGAAGGCTTCACTGGACATCCAGTAAACCTGGACTGCATCCAGGATCTTCCACTTCTTTCTATATCTCATGATCACACATTGGAAGAGGGAATATGAGCTTCTATTGTGGACGATTACGGCCTACATTTTGACCTAAACAAACTTTTGTCATTTTGTATATATAAAGTGTATCAAAACGAAGTTATATTGCTTACAGCTTCCAAAAGGGAAATCATCATTAAACAGTATAGGAGAAAAGGAAACAACTGTTTAAAACAAAAAATAATGGGTCAAAATTCAGTATAACATTGAGTTGTATCTTATTTAAAAGGATAATAAAAGCTTCAGCCACATTGGTAGTGCAAATATGATGTTTTCAAGTGTCACGCAGAGTCCAGTTTAGAGTTTTATCAGTTCAAAAGCTGTGGCAGAATCTGCTGGACCTTCATCCAATGATTCAACGTCTTTTCCCAGAGGGCAGCAGGGAGAACAGTCCACGGTGGGGGGGTGGGGGGTCATTGATGTTATGTTGATTGATGTTACGGGCTCGGGACACGCAGCGCTTGGATGAAATGTGTCTCTTCCTTTTTCTCTCATATTGCATCGCTTTTTCAAACGACGAAGCCAACGTCATCTGCTTCACAGCTGATTTAATTGGTCTGCAGGTTAACAACATTCTTCATTTTTCGGATTACTTTTTATGTGGTGGAATAAATTTGTTCTGTGGCCTTTCGCCGCAATGGTTTTGTTGCACGTCTTACAAATTACTGAAACACCTGCTGTCTCCATATTTCGTTTCCTGGGTGCTGTATTGTGCGAGAAAATAATTCTGTTTGGAGGAGGGGTTGATGATGCCTTCAGAGTGTTTGGTAACAAAAATAAAACTCTCAAATCGATTTCAGTTTATTTCTATAGCGCAAATTCACAACACATATCATGTCAAAGCACTTTATAATTCAACCAGATCATAGAGTCACATCGATTCAAACTTTTCTATCTGAGGAAAACCAGATGATTGCATCGACTCGTTAACTCAAAGGCAATCCCTCAAGATACATCGGGTATATTCGATATATCGCCAATGAAAAATTTGGACCTGCTAAAATAAATACTGTGACATCACATGTTTGATTATAAAGTGCAGCTTGGTTTGATGTGACTCCATGTTGTCCCCTATCAGGTATATGGCTCCAGAGGTGCTGGACGACTCCATAAACATGAAGCACTTTGAGTCGTTTAAGAGAGCTGACATCTACGCCATGGGCCTGGTCTTCTGGGAGATCGCCAGCCGCTGCTCTGTGGGGGGTGAGAACAGTTGGACTTCAGTTTTGTTTGGGTCTTCAGATGCAGAAGTGAACTACTATGATTATTCTGACCTCATTGTTTTCTGTGTTTTTCCCGTCAGGCATCCATGAGGACTACCAGCTGCCCTACTATGACCTGGTGCAGTCAGATCCATCAGTTGAGGAGATGAGGAAGGTGGTCTGTGAGCAGAAACTTCGCCCAAATATTCCCAACCGCTGGCAAAGCTGCGAGGTAGGACAGCATGCTGTATCTGAGTGATAACTCACATTGGATCCAGATCTAAGGCCGGCACTGAGGCCAAGCTTTTTGGTTAAGGTGTTATGCAGGATAAAAGCTATTATAAAAATAACATCTGCTCTGGTCCTGCTCATTCCACCATGATTGTCTGAATGCTGCCAGATGACGTAAAACATTGTGGTTGCCTAGACAATGATAACATCCTACAGCGTCCGTGTGCTGAGTCAGAAGCATCTTTAATGTTGGCGTGTCGTGACAGATGACCTGATCAATAACAAAACTGAAAAAAAATCTGTTTATGGGGAACAACGTAACTGCAAGACCATATAAGAACCAGAATTTCTAGGCGCAGCCAAGGTGTTGAGGGGATCCGATTTGGTGGCCTTAGCATAGTGTCTCTGTTACTTGCAGATGATGTGGTTCTGTTGGCTTCATCAGGGCGTGATCTAAAGCTCTCATTGGAGCGGTTTGCAGCCGAGTGTGAAGCGGCCGGGATGAGGATCAGTGCTTCCAAATCTGAGACCATGGTGTTCAGCTGGAAAAGGGTAAAGTGCCTTCTCTGGGCTGGGGAGGATGTACTGCCCCTAGTGACTAGTTTTAGTATCTTGGGGTCTTGGAAGATGGAGCGGGAGGTCGATAGGCAGATTGGTGCGGCGTCTGCTGTGAAGCATGTACTGTACAGGTCTATTGTGGTGAAGAGAGAGCTGAGTCAAAAAGCAAAGCTCTTGATTTACCGCTTTATCTACGTTCCTACTCTCATCTATGGTCAAGAGCTTTGGGTCATGACCGAAAGAACGAGATCCCGGATACAAGCGGCTGAAATGAGTTTTCTCCGTAGTGTGTCTGGGCTCTCCCTTAGAGACAGGGTGAGGAGCTCAGTCATTAGGGGAGGACTCAGAGTAGAGCTGCTGCTTCTCCACATCGAGAGGAGCCAGCTGAGGTGGCTCAGGCATGTGATTAGCATGGCTCCTGGACGTCTTCCTGGTGAGGCACGTCCCACTGGGAGGACACCCAGGGGGGAGAGCCAGGACATGCTGGAGGGACTATGTTTCTCAGCAGGCCTGGGAGCACCTTGGGATTCCCCCGGAGGAGCTGGCCCAAGTGGCTGGAGAGAAGGACGTCTGGGCTTCCTACTGAAGCTGCTACCCCCTGCGACCTGACCCCGGATAAGAAGAAGAACATAGATGGATGGATGGACATGCTTTTTTCTTTTCTATTTTAATTGAGTATTTAAGTTAATTAAGTTAGCTATTAAAAAAAAAGAGAAGACAAAAAACCCTGGAAACAAAACACCTAACAGACAGAAAAGAAACAAAAAGTAGCAGCGTGTTGGCGAAGATTCTCAGTCATCCAGGTCATAGTCACTTTGTTAGCCTGAAATACCCCATACCTGTCTATGTCTCTGAAACCTGTCTTTCAGAGACATAGACAGGTATGGGGCAATGCAGGCTAACAAAGAAGCCATATGATCCCCCATTCCACAGGTTTGGGCCTGATCATCTGTTTCATTTTGCATGTTTTCTAAACAAAAACAAGGCTTTGTTTGGCTGCTGTATAAAAGCTGGAACTCTATGCTATTTCTGACATTTCTGCTATACATCTACAGCCTCTTTCCCTCTGAAGATCAGGTGTTAACCGGTTTTTTTCAAACATGGTCAAAAAAAGCTGATCTAACTCCTTGCTGGCAGCTGCATGGCCTCTGTCATCCACGCCATAGCTGTTGTCTGGTCACCACTGATGTCACCAGTGCAAAAGAAATCAGGAAAGTAAACAATGGAGAGCAACATGGAAGGAAGCCAGGGCATAGTCAGTGTGCCTTATTGTTTCTCTCTATCTGTCTGAATCCCTCTCTCCAGAGCTGCTCCGTGTTTCTTCAATCTAAACAGAGTTGGTTCTTCTTGTTGGACGTTTGGATGCTGCGTTGAATGTTATCACGTAATTTAGACGGTCAACCCAGTGTTTTATCAGCTCAGCTCAGCATACCATGTCAGGCCAGCATACCCTTAGTAATACGTATTAAAAAAGAGTGTCTCCTGCCTCCACTCTCCTTACAGCCAATCACACTCTTTTATTTCCTGATTTAGTCGGGTTTTTGTCGTTGTTTTGTACAACAACAAAAAAACTAGTGTTTAGTAGACTTCACTAGGTCCAATACACACATTAACTTTAAAAAAAAAACATTGCAAGTCGTTTTGATGAAGATTTCATTAAAGAATGATCATGATTTTTCCACAGAGAATTAAATGTTTAGAAGATTCTACAACCCAGTTGACAGGATAGGAGATTAATTTGTTTTAGTTTGTTTAATATGAGAAACATATCCCACCGGGATCATTTTATTTTTATTTATTTATTTTTTACAGTACATGAAGAACTGCTGAAATTATTTTCAGATTACACATAAATAGATAAATTAATTACCAGGGGGGAAACTTTGGGTTAGGATTGGTGCAATCTAAAGCCATTCAATGGGACAGATAACCGCTAATAATGATCATGTGCGCATGCGTGTTACTGCTGGCCTGACGTGGTACGCTGAGCCGACAGAAGACGGGCCCTGGTGTTCCCGCAGCATGCTGATCAGACTATGGGCGATTTTAATGGGGGTCACTTGCCGATCCATCTTCTAACTGCAGAGTTGGGTAGAAAAGCTTGGATTTACTCTGCATCAGTGAGCGTTTCCCACTGCCACTAAAACCCGGTTTGTTCCCGGGTTCAAACGGGTTTTTCAGCCAGTGGGAAACGGATATGGGAGAAACACCGGACTGATCACCGAACTGCAGCCCAGCTGATGCCTCCCTTCTTTGCGTCTCAGCTATACAAGACCAGGCTACTGCTGTTTGATCAGCCATTACAGCCACTGTTTGAATGAAAGGATGGACCACCAAGATGGTCAAGATGTTTTTTCTAATTTTCAATGATTCTCATTAATTCCTGAAGATTGATCCATAACACCAAAGGTTGGTTTAAAAAAACAAACAAACAATGCAATTGTTTTAACAATCAGATAAGGGGTTTGGCTCCTACAGCCGCCATTAACGAGCTTTAATTTTTAGAATTCCTGTTGAATGTTAATATTATACCAGCATCAATTTTGCTGCGTTTTAGTTCCAGCAGCTGTTTCTGAAGCGCATCAGAAGCTCATGAGGCGCTGCTGCTGCAGGACCTTTGCTGCACCTTGATGCGCGTCAACCATTGGCTTTGCATTTAAACCAGCTGCCTCTGCTGCTTGCAGTCTGAACGTAGCATTAGTCTAAATTTGGCCACAGGAACAAAGCATTTTTGCTGCTGGAGAGGATAAAACCGGGGCGGGGGGGTTAGATCCTTATCTGAAAGAGTTCAGGAAGCGTCTGCAGCCCAGGAGGGATATTAGGTCTCCTCATCAGTGTCATTGCCGCAGCCTGTCTCTAGCAGACCAGACGATATGAGACGCATGGACCTTACTCTGTGTTTCTGGGGGAATTATCCCGCTGAACAGCCTGAAATGAAATGGCTTTCTAAAACGTTTCAGCTGAACAAGGAGCTCAGGTCATGATTTATCCTGACGAAGGATTCGCTTTCTGTTAGCGGATGTTTAGTGTCTTTATCTCATTAGCCTCTAGCAGTGCAGTCGCCCCTCATCCTGTTCACTGTGATTCCTATCTCCCCCATAAGCACCAAGCGTTCTTTTCTTCCAGACTGGATCTGTTTAGAATTTTCCTTTTGCAGGTAAACAGGAACTCCAGATAAAGTTGAAAACAAAACAACTGGAATTAAGTTTTTGTAGTTTTTTTTTCTTTATAATTTTTTATGTGGTTCCTATTCTTCAGAAAAGGTGTGGATATCCTAACAGGGCGGTTCCAGGAAACCTGATTACCTCAAACACAACATCTGTGATGCATTTCAGACCCAAAAGCTGTCATCTGCTCTGCTTAGGCACTAAAGGCTGATTTATACTCAGACCAGGTCCTGTGTCACAATTAAGCCCCCCCCTCTCACCTCTCCTAAATTGTAGGTGTACACAGACAGGAGGCCTCTGATTGGTGAAATCTACATCCCCTCTACACTATGCGTATTTACCGGCTTGTTTTGTTTGTATGACCGCCATTGTGGAAAACGACTCGTGAAGACCAGCTAGCAGAGCGAGGTGCGCGAGAACGCTGGGACCCTTTTCCCACCTGGATCCCCGCTCTTTTTGGCCCTCATGTCCCTCCTTTGTCGCAAAAACTTGCCCCCACTTCCTCACCTCCTCGGCCGTAACTAGACCCACAGCTAGTTCTTGATTGTCCTTCTTGCGTTTTGGTGTGGAATAACATAGCGCAGACCACGCTTCAATACTGAGCATAAATCAAAAATGCCTGCATCAAGCTCACTGCGATCCACTGCTACAGGAGGACAACTAGCCCTTAAACGCAACATGAGCAGGATGCTGGAGGAAGGAAGGTCCAGTCGTCTAAACTAGAGGAAGTGAAGAACTTCTCCACAGACCTGCGGCTCCACGCAGGAGATCCTCAGGAAAACCCTCAGCTGTGCACCTCGAGGGGAAAATGACCTATCCTTTCCATTGGCTTTGGAAATGTGTGCTGTTCTCTGATTGGCTGATTGAAACGAGAATGTGCAGAGAACTAGATGGTTACCGGGATCAGATAACATCTGAGCCCATCACTTTATTTTAAAGCAACAAACCAGAAAATCTACCTGACAGCAAATGAAAACAGAAATGCAAACATTTCTATTTCTGTTTTTAATGTGTCACATAGAAATCTAGTTGTCGAGTCAACTTTTGTTCTGCGGAGCAAATTGGCAGCTTTTTAAAATTTGCTGGGTTTTGTGTTTTTGCAGTTGCAGCTTTTTCTATTTTCTGTCATTTGTGTTTTTTATAAGGCAGTAAAGCTCTGCGTGGAGGCGTGTGGGTGTTGTGCCTGTTTGCTTTTTCCAGCTAATGGATAGAAGTGTCTGCTGTATTAATAATGGCTGTAGGAAGCAGACAGGAGAAAAAAGGCACAGACAGTGACGCATCAATACCAGCTGCTGTTTATAGACTGGAGGTTATCGGTTTGAAAGCTGAACAGAAGGTTAGGATCTTTGGACTAGAGTTTGTTATATAGATAACAAATCGAACAAACAAGTAAAATAATAAAAAATATGGAAATGCAGAACTTGCTTTATTTAATTCAATTCAGTTTATTTCTATAGCGCCAATTCACAACACATGTCATCTCAAGGCACTTTATAGTTCACCAGATCATCCAGTCAGATTGATTCAAAGTTTTCTATCTAAGGAAAACCAGTTGATTGCATCGACTCATTGACTCTTCAGCAATCCCTCACACTAAGCATGCTTGTAGCGACAGTGGAGAGGAAAAACTCCCTTTTAACAGGAAGAAACCTCCAGCAGAACCAGGCTCAGTGTGAGCGGCCCTCTGCTGAGGCCGACTGGGGTTCAAGGAAAAAGAAGCATAGATACAAAAAGCAGCTGTCAACCAGCTCCACAGGCGGCCCCGTCCAGGAAACACACAGCCAGGCAGACGAGCTCCGAGCCAGCTCCCATGTCAGAGGATGAAGAGAGCACATCCAGTTAGTCATAGTCAGAGAAACAGGACTACACTGAAAAACAGGTCGATCTCCAACATCTAGAAACAAAGGTGTTGATGGCAGCAGCACAGCTGATATTTCTCTCCAGGATGGAGTCACAGCTAAACAGGAACAGACCTTTTTAACCCAAAGTTCACTAAAAGAGTATTTTTATCCTTAAAATAAGATAATTAGATATTATGCCCTTGAAATGAGAGTCTTCAGTCTTTTTTTCCTATGCTTTGTTGGGCTGCTCTATAAGCCTGGAACTCAATGCTATTCCAGACATTCTGAATTGAAAAAAGGTTCCTGGATGAAAAGCGAAACATCTTCAAACTTTCAAAACAAAGTTGTTGTTTTGAAGGATAAACCTGGATGACTGATAATCTTCACCAGCATTCAGTCAGATTAAAGACTCTTGTTTTTAATCTGAGGAAGAAAAGCTGATTGGATTGGGTGCTTGGCTCTCCAGTTTGCTAAATATTACATAAACTTGGTTTAATCTCACTAAAACATTTTGATCAGGATACATCTTAAATATTAAGATGTATAGCAATTGTTTGTATCGCTTCATTTTGGATTCATTTAGGTACAGTTTTGCCTTTCGGGAAAAAGGTTGATGATCAAAGCCATACAAGTTTAAAAACAATCCACTGGACTTTGTTTCAAAGTTTGAAGACAGTTCTCATCCAGGAAGCTTTTTCAATTCAAAATAGCGTTGAGTTTCAGGCCTAATGCAGTAGACCAACAAAGCCTTGTTCTGTAGGTCTGGTTCTGTCTCTGTTTAACGCACTAAATGTCTACAGGATATAAGTTATGCCTCTAACTATGCAGCTTCAGCCTGCCTTGGTTAGCTGTTATCTGACCGGCTGGAAAGGGTTAAACATCAGCCTGTTCAACTGAAGATAGTTTGTTGATGTTTGGTCGTTTTTCTGGACATTTTTGGTCAATGCTGGGATTTCTTTTGTGTGGTGAATTTGCTGATTTTTGCTGAATTTGGTGATTTTTCAGAGATTGGAGGATTATTTTGTGTAGTTGGTGATTTTAACTTTTTTGATGATTTGTTTTGTGAATTTGGTGATTTTTGGTGATTGTTTTTTTATTGGTTTATTTGTTGATTTTTGTTAAAGAATTTGAGGATTTTTCCAGAATTGATTGATTTTGGTGATTTTTGTTGTGTTAAGTACCCTGCTGTCACCTTTAGTAGTTTTCATATGACTCCATAGAAGCTGCCATCATCACAAGCCGTGTTTCCATTAGAAATGTTTGCAGAACTTTGTTGATTTTCCAGTAATGTCCAAAAAAAAAACAAAAAACACACACACACAATTTCACAAAAAAAAAATATTTTTTTATATTGGATCATAAATGCAATCATGCTGTTGTCTCTTGGTGTGTAGCCAAACAGTATTGATTCTGTTCATGGTTTATTTTCATTCCCATCACACCTGGATTTCTCTGTTTTTTTTTAAACAATTGAGATTTTTTCTGTTGTATCTGTTTGGCTGGAAACCTTTAAGCTCTGGGTTATTGTTTTGTTTCTTGTCAGGCTGCAGATTTCTCTGAAGAAGGAAACTGATGCGTTTGTCTTGCTCTTGTTTGCAGGCTTTGCGGGTGATGGCTAAGATCATGAGGGAGTGTTGGTACGCCAACGGCGCCGCCCGACTCACCGCTCTGCGGATCAAGAAGACATTGTCTCAGCTCAGCCAACAGGAGGGAATCAAGATGTAGTCCAGATGCAAACATCTGACTGGCATCACATCATCTGTGTCATCATGAGTATCCATCCCATCTTCTTCTTCTGACGGGAAGTTAAAGACATTTCCTGTTTCATGGTTTCCTTCCACTGACTGAGGAATGTGATGTCTGGATGGATAGATATGATGGAGGACACTCGTGCCTGAAGGGGATGATGGAGGTGTTACAGGAAACCTCTGGTCACTCATCTCTCTGTTTATTTAACGTCATCATCATCATCATCATCATCGCCGCTCTCTTTCCATTAAAGCTCGTGCTCACACTCTGACCCTGAGCAGAACCTCTCTTCAGCAGGGCTGCAAGCCGAGATCTTTTCTCAGTCCAAATCTGTTGCTTAGGGAAACGGCAGCAGCGTTGAATGTTCGATCTTAGCTTATAAAACCTTCACTGAATTTTGAGCAGTCAGTAACCTGTGAGGAGGGGGACAGAAACACTATAAACTACTGATAAGACCAAAAAATCTGTTTGAATTTGGGCTTCATTTCAGATTCCCGAAAAATCAGATGTTTTTTTTTTTAGGTGATTTAAGCTAATAAATCCCCCTATTGTCAGTGTAGAAATGCATCCGCCAGCAACATCCTTCTAGTTTGACTGAAAGTTAAAGAATTTCCTAAAACATTTGGCTATTAAAAGGAAAATTTTTTTGTTTTACTTTATGTTGGAAAGAAAAAATGTTTCTTTGAAAGAGCCTCACCTGTTTCCTGAATTTGTTACATTCTAAGAGAAAAGTGAGTCCATCTGTAAGAATCCGATTCAGAGGTCTTCTATGTGGGCCACCTAGTGGGATATAAAAGTACTGCAGGCAGAGTAATATGTAAGCAATATTAAATGTAGAAAATACATTTGAATGTTGCCTTTACACGGGTACTGAAAGTTTGTATGACTTTATTATTATTTTAAACTTTATTTACCTCTAAATTTTACAGACTAAATCTTCATTCGATGTTAAACCCCCTATTAGCTGCTAAACTTTTAAATACTCAGGTTTTCTACATTTTCAGATGATCTGATTAGTTTTTCTTGTAAATATTTAAAAAAAAGCACAGAAGCTATTTTTCTGCAGCCAGCTGACCGGCAGTGCACAGCTCAGAGTGAAGGAGCTGTGGTGACGAACCGCTGGCATCCTGAAGCTGGCCCATTTTTCCCCATTAGCCGATGGCGTAGCGTCACAGTCCCGACCCCTGCAGCCCTGCTGTCGAGTTCTCCCACATTTGATGAGCACCTGAACGTCTCATCTTTGTTGATGAACCTCTTCTTTTGTGTAACGTGTTTGTTTTCTTCCCCTCTGTGCTGTCAGGGGACTCGAACAGGTCAATTTAATTTATTGTGAATTCTTTTTCTGGTGCCAGGGGACTTTTTCCGCTTCAACTCAACCGGACATGGTGACCTCATTCATCTTTGGTGCACAAGCTGAAACATATGCAATATACAGTAGATAAATGTGTCTATTTTCTATACTCTGCTCTGCTAAACCATAAACCAGACCAACAACAATCAGCTGCCACCATGCCTTCCAAACCAGCTGTTACCGGAAAGTGCCAGTGCTTAAAAACCCAACTCCTCTCTCATGTCGGCTACTGTGGCATGCTTCCTCTCCGTGTGCATGCGACACACATGTGCAGTCTGTGCGTGCTGATCTAAAGTATGGCGAGCTTCTACTATGCACACCCCCTGATGTAGGGACGGGTAGCAAAACAAGGAATCGCGTTTGGTTCATAAAACATGGCAGCATCCACAACCCAGCCGACGCTCTGGTGCCATTTTTATCCGATATATCCTCCCCTCCTCCTCACAGAAACGGCTTCTCATCCAGCCCCGCCCCTCGGCGTGCTGCCTTCCAGCATCTGGCTGCAGTTGGAAAACACTGTTGTTTAAAGTGGCGATCACATGGAGCATTACGGATGTTTCTCTGGAAGTGATTTTAGTTCCTTTTAACCTGGAGAAAAGGTTCATTCAGTGAAAGCAACCTGATATTGACTAAGCCATAGCTTCTCCAGGGGTTTCCTCTCATTTTCGTCGCATGGTGTCTTTGTTTGTTTTTGGTTTTATCAGAGGCTACGTTCACACTGCAGGTGTTAGTGCTCAATTACGTTTTTTTGTGAAATCCGATTTTTTTAATGTATTTTTTTTTGCGTTGCTGCTCACATTTCAAAATATATGCGACTTGTATGTGATCTCCTGTGTGAACTGGATTCATGCAACGCAAGTGTCCCGCATATGCAGTAGATTAAAAACACAATCTTTTCAACAAAATAATACTCTCCGCATCCTAGTCCACCATGGTTGTTGTTTTTCTTGCCGCTTCTGTGTAGCAAGGTGCAGAATAGTGACCTTGTTCGGTATTAATGGCGTTCAGGTCGGATGAATGCGAACTTGATGTTTTAAAAAGATCGTATCGGATTCAGTACCACATAGTCAAGTGGGCTGGGACGCATTAGAAAAAATCGGATGTGTGTTGTTCAGACTGTCGTGAGAAGATCGGATACAGGTCGGATATGGGCAAAAAAATCGGATTCGGTCACTTCAGGCTGCTTTGTGAACGTAGCCAGAATGTACATTTTTCGATGCATAAAAGGAAAAAAAAACTGAGCAAGCCTTAAGGGACCAACGCAAAAGGGTCAGTTTCTTTTCTTAATACCTTTCTGTTGTTTTGTTTTAATAAAATATATAGAGATATACATATAAATATATACACATATATTGATTACTATGATAATGGTAGTGTGGTTCTATGTGAAAGAAAAAAAGATTTATATGTAGCACCTGATTTAAGAATTAGTTTAAGCCTTCACTGCAAAAATGATCTAGAACTAAGTAAAAATGTCTTAAAATAAGTGTATTTATCCGTAATCTGAGGAGGTAAATGAGATGATCTGTCAATGGAACGCATATTTTTACTGTTAAGATAATTTCCATATTTTCCGGACTATAAGACGCTGGTTTTCTGTGGATTTTTCTAAACTGCCACAAGTTGGAAATGAAAGAATAAGGGGCTAATTTTCCTTTAGCACAACTAGCTAGCTAGCAGCAGGCATGACGTTGAACAAATGTCCAAAATGCTCATATTTTGACATTTATTAAAGCTGCCGAATTAATGAAGAGACTGGGCTCAACTCCTCAGCGCCGAAATAAAGAGCTGATGAAGCCCCATTTTCAGCAGAAGCTCTTACTGCTGCAAGCTAACAAGCTAACGGGAGCTAGCATTCTTCTTGGTCGCTACCCAATGGGCTTCTTTTAGAGCTCCCCCTACAGATTTGGTCTGGCACTATTCGGTAGATATCAGCTGCTTAAGCCAGGCACATACTTTGCGATATTTTCTATTGTTGCACTCAGGTTTAGCTCAAACTGTGCGGTGAAGCCGCAGGGTTTAAAAGTTCACAGATCATGATGTATGTTCTCACACTGTGCGAGCCGACACTCTGATGCGATCTACTTGCTATGCAGAAAAAACAACCATCCGAATCAACACCGATGGGCGCTGGTCGAACTCGTCAATCTAGAAGAAGAAGAAGAAAAACTCCCTTGTTTTTTGCTTTTGCAGTGCTCTAAATTCTGGTAAATCGGCTCGTAGCTCAGCTTCAACAGCAGGATTTACCCACCAACACCTCATGATGGCGACTGAATTACAAAAAATATGGATTTTTCTCCCGACCTTACGATTCCTGACCGGGAGGTGGTCGTTAGAGGCTATTCGCCCCTTGTTATGCTACACGACGCAGGAGGCCCGATCAGGCTAACACTCGACCTGATTGAAAAAATTCTCACACGACTGGAGAATCGGCTGGAAAAGGGCAAAAAATCGTACAGTGTATGCCCTCTTTATAGTGAGCTGCGCTATATAGTTAAAAAAATACTAGATAATATGCACTTGAAACAAGACAGTGGAATTGTTTTTTATTATTCTAAATGTAAATTATCTTCTTTCATTGGAAAACTGTCTCACTTACCTCCTCAGTTCAAGAAAAAAATGCACTTATTTTAAAAAAAATTGACATATTTTAAGAAGAAAAGGTACTTATTTAGATTTAAATTTTTTGCAGTGTTTTTTTTTTTTGGTTTTTGTTTTTTTGGTTGCCATACAGATAAACTGATTCGATGAATTTCATCAGGGGCACTTGGCTTTAATCCACAGGTCCAAAGCAAGTCTGCAATCAGAAACCGAACGTGATCAGATCTTCTAGTTTTATCTGCCAGATTGTAATTTGCACAACCAAACCAGTCTGTTGATTGTTCAGCAATAAGTGCACTTCAGTCCTACTGTGCGGTTTACCTGTATGGCAGATTGTCTCTTTATCATTGTTCTGTTATCCATGATGTAATAATGTGCTGCTACTTTAATGTCTACCTGCCTCTGTGAGTGGACTGTGCTTCGATGTAAATATCAAATTTTTCCTTATCTCAAGATGTTGGTGCCATGTTTCTCATCATGCCATGTTACCCCCCCAGAACATCCCTCTGTTTGCGTTGAGATGCTCCTTGGTTTAGCAGAGTACTGATGGTGACTGGAGTCTTTCGGTTCATTTCCTTGTAGGCAAAACCCGGTTTTGAACTCTTAAGTGAGCTTTGAACCACAAATATGAAGAATCACAAAGACAGATTTGTTTGAAAATGTTAATTGTACATGGTTCCCAGTAGAGCTGGGCAATTAATTTCTTTTATAATATATAGCAAAACGCAATTTTCAAATCAGAGGTTCTCAGTTTTAGTCACCCCACATTTAAAGGAAAAGTTCGGTCAGCAATGAAGAACCAATGGATCATTATCCACACACCATAAAACGAATACGCTCGCGGTGATTTAATGAATTTAATATTGAGCAGTAAAAAAATGAAAACAATTTTTCGTCATGTTCACTGCTGCCATTTTTGCCCAGATATAGTAACCCCTCCCTCCTGCCATCTTCCAGCAGTGACGTCACGGTGCGGTAAGCCTAGCGCCATTCTCCCCGCTTTACAAGCANCAACAACAATTATTGAAGATTTCCAGAGGACTTCACCATTGAAATTCACCAGAGCTATAGTGAAACTGACAATGCCCACGTGCATGGCAGCTGGATGTTGGAATATATTGGGTAAAAGTGAAAAAAATGTGTTATTTCACCCTTTCGATTCCTTTGAATCAGTGGGGAACTGAATCCAACACCAGTCGCACTTTGATAAATTGATAAAAGGTACCTAACTAAGTCTGCCATCAGTGGCATTCAATTGGCTCGGTGAACATTGAAAATGGCCACCACTGGTAGGGGACTAAATAAAAGAAAAACCTAGTCAGATTATGAAGAAGGTAAAATATCGACTTCAACCAGATTCAAAATCAGGAACAGAGAGAATTACTGATTGAAAGTTTTATGTCACAGAAGCGTTTAAGTATTTTTGCCGACGGGGAAATGACTCAAGTCCTCACAAATATCTTTTGGATTTATCTGGGTTTACTGGTCAACAATTGGACATAGAGATTTCAGAGTATCCCTTTAAGAAACCATGGCTGAGCTGTGGGCTTAAGCTTTACTTCATTGCAAAATCCTTCTCTGGGAAATAATCGACAGGCTCAACTCAACTGAACCTCTAGTATG